AAAAAAGGAGGCAACTAGATTTTCTAATCCCTGCTCCTCTTAGTCAAGCAACTGCCCCTTCCCTTCCCTGGAAGAGCAGCATTCATTGATGTAGTGTAGAAAGCAGAACACAGGACTAGGGGACACTGGGTCAGTTGAGTGCTGGTACATTGTGTTGAATAAATGGGACACACACTGGGGCCCAAGAACACTGCTAGACAGATTTAGACCTTCCAGACTAGCCCAGAAGAAAATAATTAGAAATACCAATAGTTGGAGGTCTTCCCAATATAAACAGCTGACAAGCATAGCCAGAACTTCTGATTTGTTTTGTATATAATTCTTAAATATAAGAAGAGAGACATTGACCAGTAGACATTAAGAAATCATTTAAACTGTCAGAGACCAAAGAATTCAGGAGCTCAGGGAAAACAAAAGGTACAGTGAAAGAAAGGTAAATAAATACACAAGTGTATTTGTTGTTGTTGTTATCTGCCATTGAGTCACCTGCAACTCAAAGTGAATCTATGTACAACAACTCTAAACCCTGCTCTATCCTGTCCAATCTTATTGTCTCTGACACACCTACTCCCATTTCCCCAGTCACTAAATCAATCCATCTCATCAAGGGTCTTCCTCTCCTGCGCTGTCCCTCCACCCTCCCAAGCATGACATCCCTCTCTGAAGACTGGTCTATCCTTGCAACATGCCCAAGGTATGTCAGATGAAACTTCAGAGTCCTTGCCTCCAAGGAGCAGGCTGGTCTCACCCTCTCTAGGACGAACCTGTTTGTTCTCTTAGCAGTCCATGGTACCCTCAATACTCTTCTCCAGCACCACAGTTCAAAGGCATCAATTCTCCTTCTGTCCTCTTTAGTCACTGTCCAATTCTCTGATGCATAGCAAGTGATATTAAAATTAACAATAAAAAAATAATAAATAGTTGTTACCATCCTGAGTCAGTTTGGATTCAATGGTATGTAACAATAACAACATCCAGTTACAGAGAGCTCTGGTAGATTAGTGGTAAGGAGTTGTGCTGCCAACCCAAAAGCAGACAATTTGAATCCACCACCTATTTCACGGGAAAAATACGAGCAATCTCCTTCCAGGCAATTTACTGCCTCGGAAAACCTGCTGGAGGATCAGCTATCAATTGGTTCTGACTCAAAGGTACGTAATAACAACAACAACATTCCAATGATTGCAGAAATATTTAACATGCAATAAAAAGATTGAAAGACATAGAGTTGACCTAAGAATAAGGTGGGTGAAGTGAGTTCTACAAATACAGGATCTGATCCTAACTTTATTTAAAATATTTTCTTTTCCATATTTCGGTGTTTTTAATAGGTTTTTGGTTTGTTTTGGTTTTTAATTGTTGTTTTCTATTGGTTTGTTTCCAAAGTTCATACACATTGTGTTTCACATATTCTTCATTCACATTTGTTTCACATAATCATTCTCATTCATTATGTTTTATAAAATGAATCACCATTGGACTATGCCCACCATTACCTGACCTTTCAGGTCCCCCCCAAATCTTGCCCATTTCCTTTACCCCCTCCCTCCACAAACCAAATTGTTCAACCTTGTGATTTTCTACCTACCCATCCTTACCCCTCTGCTCCTATCCCTCCCCCCCTTGTGTCCTCATATATGGATTACTTACTAGTTAGCCTTCTATTTTCACAATAACAGACTTATATATTACTTCTCCTTATGAGACCAAGTTAGTTAACTCAGCATAATGTTTTCCAGTACCAAGTTGTGTAGTATTTTTTTAAATTGTTTCTCCTGATGGAAAGAAGCCCTGAATAAGCAAAGCACTCCTTAAAAATAGAAAAAATGTAGGAGGCATCTC